AGACTAGAAGAGACCTGGAAGGAGCAAACTTAGACACTGAGTCAGGGTCTTGCCTCTGTTTCCTGTACCTGTCACTTTAGGCAACGGCTTGCTTTGATAAAAAGCAGTACCAAAAGTGTCAGCAGATGGTGATGGTGATGATCATCCGCTGAGATTTTTATTTCTCACTTATGCTCCATGTCCATCACAGGTTGACCGGGGTGGGGGGCATTTTGTACTCACCTAAAAAAAACTAGAGCAGCCACTACTCTCTTGAACATACAGGTCCCCAGGTCACAGGCAAACCAGAGCTCTATACAGTGGTCATTGAAATGTTCCAGCCTACAAGTGACACTTCCGCTCACAGTTCATGGGCCAGAATTCATCCCACGGCTCCAACCCACCTCAAGGGAGACATCCTTCCCTGTGCCTTCAAAGGGGGAAAAGAACACTCCTGACATGGCCTGATGTCCCCTGGCCCCCTTCCCTAGTGGCACGCACGCTGCAGCATTCTGCTCCACGAGGGGCCATCAGGATGGAAATGGAAAGATGTTCTGAGCTCCCCCCAGGGGAATATGGTCTGGGACAGGGAGATGGAGAGGGAAAGGCAGATTCCCATCCCCACGTTAACATCTCTGAAGTCAGGGCAAGTCTTCTAACCGAGGCGCGTGCACTTCCTGTGGTAGAGATCCATAGGCATATGCGTCCTGCGACACCATCACAAAATCGACTTTGGATTGTAACCTGGCTGGTGTCTTAAGTGATATAGAATAACAACGACATAGCTCCCGTAATGGATTTGGTGTCAAGAGCCAGGAGATGAGGACCATAGCGGTAGCACCTACCCTTGGGAGTGCTCTGATGACTGGGAAGTTGGAGGCAGTGTGCAGGGGAAGCTGATAGCTCAGTGGTCTGCCAGTGGCATGGTTGACCCTGGGCTTCCTATTTAAATGGGAGTGTGTGTATTTTTCGGGGAGTCAGTCCATAGCTTGCCCCAGACCTCCGTAGGGGTCTAGGACAGCGATGGCCATGTACAGTTGGGTGGATGGTACACTGCACAGGGGATGGTACCAAACGATGGAATGAGTGGGGGGTTGGCATCTATCCTATGCCCCATTCTTCA